TCCCCTTTGAGGCTTCACATGTAGTCATTTTGACATTGTTGTCCTCTTCTGAGTTTGTGTTTGGTTCTTCCCTGTCACCATAGTAGCTTTGTATGGTTAGGCTCTTTTTTGTTTTTTGCTCATTTTAAAAAGAGTTGAGCTCTGCTGCTGGGGTACAGGGGGCACTGTCCCAAGATTCTTGCACTGGGGGCCAGCGGCCTGGTCCCTGGCTTTCTGCGCTGGGGCCTCTGAGGCTGGCAGCTTTCCCACTGCACTAGGGTGGCCCAACCTAGTTAGCCTGCTGTGCCCTGGGTTCCAGGGCTGGTGGTTTGCCTACTGTGCTGATGCTGGAGGCCTCACAGCTGGTCTGCTGCACCACTGGCCTTCTGAGCCAGGACTGCAGGGTCTCGAGTGCTTATCTGTGCTGTGGCTTAGAGTTTCTCACTGGCTTGCCTGGACACTGCCTGTGCTGGGCTGCACTCCCTTTTTACCCAAGTGAGACAGACCCTTCCTGAAGTCCTTCTAAGTTATCTTGGGCTGGAAAACTTTTTCACCCCATATTTTGGTGGATTCTGTTGCTTCAGAATTCTTTTAGAAGCTTGATTTAACATTGTTTCTGAGGAAACCTGGGGAGAGCTTAGGCAACTTCCTCATTTCTCTCCACCATCTTAGCTTTGTCCCCCCAAAGAGTGTTGTGCATGAGGAACAGCAAGTATGGCTAGATTACAGGGAAGGGTAGAATGTAAGAAGATTTGAAAGTTAGGAAGGGACCAGGCTGTGAAGAAATCTAAATGCCAAGCAAAGAACTTTATAGATGATCGTAAGGGTAATAGTGGCTTACTGGAGAGTATTGAGCAGGTAGGGCAACAGTGATTAGACTTATCCTTTAGGTAAATCACTTTAGGTACTGAGTGAAAGATGAATTAGAATGGGAAGAGACTTGAGGCAGGGAAACCAATTAGAAGGCTATTGTAATAGTCTAGATGAGAAGTGATGAGGGCTTCACTTAGGTAATAACTGTGTGAGTGGAGAGAAGGTGGTATATGAGAAAGATGTTCTAGAGAAAGAAATCACAAGATTTCACAACTGATTGGATACGTGGGGTGATTGAGATAGAGATAGATCATCTCACACCTATCAGATTGGCTAAAATGATAGAAGGGGGAAAATGACAAATGTTGGAGAAGATGTGGAAAAATTGGGACACTAATACACTGTTAGTGAAACTGTGAACTGATCCAACCATTTTGGAGAGCAATCTGGAATTATGCCCAAATGGTTATAAAGCTGTTATAAAACCCTTTGACCCAGAAATATCACTATTAGTTCTGTTTCCCACAGTGATCAGGGAAAAAGGAAAAGAACCTATACATTCTTAAATATTTATAGCAGCTCTCTTTGTAGTGGCAAAGAGCTTGTTATTGTTGTTTGTCCTTCATTCTCTAAGAGGCATCAGAAAGGTGATACCATGAATTGCAAGTGAATAGTATTTAAGTGAGGGAGGACTGTGCAAAGTCACCAGCCTCACTTTCTCCTCCGAAGCCATCTGGATCCCGTGGCAAGATGTAAATCAGGACGACTGGAGATGGTCCCTAGTGGCAAAGAACTGGACATTAAGGGGAAGCCCATCAGTTGGGGAATGGTTAAACAAGTCGTGGTATATGAGTGTGATGGGATACTACTGTGCTGTAAGAAATGATGAGCAGGTCATTTTAGAAAAATATGGAAAGACTTGCATAAAATAATGGAGTGAAATGAGCAGAACCAAGACAACATTAGATACAGTAACAGCAATGTTGTTTGAAGAATAACTGTGAATATCTAAACTATTCTGCGTATTATAAATATCCAAATCAACTACAAAGGACCTATGGAGGAAGATGCCATCCACCTCCAGAGAAAGAACAGATAAATCAAAGTATGCATAGTATGGTTTTACATATACATATATATATATATATATATATATATATATATATATATCTGTGGGTCAAATGGTGGCCTTCTGTAATGCAGGGTGAGGAGGAAGGGAGGCAGAGTGACTAGAACTTAAAATGTAACCAAAAAAATTTTAATTTAATTTTAAAAAAAAGTTTCTAACAAAGACTGGAGTTCAAGAGAAAGACTAGGGCTCAATAAATAGATCTGGGAATGATCTGCATAGAGATAATAATTGAAGCTATGGGAGCTGATGAGATGACCAATTGAGAGAGTATTAGAATAGAGAGAGAAAAGAGAAAAAGACCCATTACATATCCTTGGGGACAATGATAGGGAGTATGGCCTGGGTGACGATCCAGTAAAATAGACTTCAAAGGAGCAGTCAGACAGGTGGGAGGAGAGCCAAGAGAGGAGAGAGTATCTAGAAGGAGAAGGTGGTCAATAGGATAGAGAAGAGACCATTAGACTTGGCAGCTAAGGGATCATTAGTATCTTTGGAGGGAGCAGCTTGGATTGAATGATGAAGTTTGAAGCCAGATTGCAGAGAATTTAGAAGAGAGTGAGAAGAGAAGCTGAGACATAGATTGCACAGGACATTTTAAAGGGAGAGGAGAGATATAGGACAATAGCTGATGAGCATGGTAGAATCTAGTGACAACTTTTTCTTTTAAGGATGGGCGAGACTTGGGATATGTTTGTAGGCAGCAGAAAAGGAGCAAATAGAAATTGAAGATGGAGTGGGACTAATGATGGGGGGCTATCTGCTGGAGAAGAGAAGAGATAGCTTTGACAGGCAGAAGGGTTTCCCCATCATCAGAGAATGGAAAGGAGGAAATAGTGGGGAATGATGTCAGAGGGATGTGGGGTGAAGAGATAAAAGGCAACCTCTGTTTTTTGTTTTTGTTTGTTTGTTTGTTTGTTTGTTTGCAATGAAGCACGAGATGAGGTGAGGTCTTCAGCTGGGAGAGTGGGGAGAGGGAGTCACTGGGGGGCTTGAGGAGAGAAGAAAAGATTCCGGAACAGCTTGAGTGCTGAGTGGGATAGAGAATCAATAGCATTTTGCATAGAATAGGCTCTTAACAAATGCTTAGTGCGTTCACTGAGGTTAACGAGCATAAATGTATAGTGCTAGTTATAGTGCTGTCAGCATGGTTTCATAATTTCTTCCACTTCTGTTCAGCGGCATCTGGGTAGGAAAGAAGGAGGCAGATGGCAGGAGGAGTCAAGAATTGGGGTTTGACAAAGTAAAATCTACAGCAGGACAAAAGGGCAAGAGTGGAAGACTGTGCAGTTGGACTAGTTCACCAAGGGGTCAAGATTGCGAAGGAAGGAGGGAATGCCCAAGAGCAGGTTTAGCCAGAATGAAACATCAGCACAGGTAGAAGGACAAGAGACCATGATCAGACACAGGAATTTCAGAGCTCATAGACACCAAAGCAGAAGACTTGTGGGTGCCAGCCAGATCAAGGATGTGACCGACTGGGGAAGAGTGGAGGAGGAGGTCAGGAGAGTGGAGGAGACTGAGGAACTGGAAAGTTAGGAGATTGGAGGGAATATCCACATAGATGTTGGAGTGAGGAAAGGAGATAGGAGAGGGAGACTTAGCCAAGCACTGAGCTCATTGAGAAGGGAGGCCCCCAGAATGGCTTGGGTATCAGTATTCTAGTCCCCAGGATCAGGACTGGTGATCAATTTAAATAGTATGGGCTTCAAATGAGAGGTTGCAAAAGTGACAGTGGGACAGGAAGAGTCTGGAAGTGATAATAGGGAGCAAGGAGTATTTGGGTTGCCCCACCACTGCCAGTGAATTGGGATATGAGTGGAAGTGCACTCCAGGCTGGAAAGGGTGTTGAGGGAAGGAGAAAGTGTCCCCAGGAGAGAGCTGTGACTTCTGTGGGATGGAAGTCAGGGGCTTTCTCCCTTACTCCCCTCCCCACTACCACTTGCCCTCTGTTTTTCCTCACTTCCCTCTCCTCCTTATTTTACTCCCTTCTCCCCACTTTCCCTCCTCCCCCTCACTTTCTTCCCTCCCCTTCACTTTCCTCCCTCCCTCTCACTTTCCTCCCTTCCCTCTCCTTCCCCTTACTTTCCTCTCTCCTTTTTCCCTTCCCTTCCCTTTCCTCCTTCCCCTTAGCTCTCCCCTCTCACTTCTCCTTTCCCTTCACTTTCCTCTTCCCCCCTCATTCTCACTTCCCCTCTCCTTCTTCCCTTACTTTCCCCTTCCCCTGACTCTTCCCTTCCCCCTCATTCCCCCCCACATTTTCCTCCTCTCCCTCCCCTCACTTTCCTCTCTCTCTTCTCCCTTCCCTTCCTTTACCTCCTTCCCCTTAGCTCTCCCCTCTCACTTCTCCTTCCCCTTCACTTTCCTCCCTCCCTCTCACTTTCCTCCCTTCCCTCTCCTTCCCCTCACTTTCCTCTCTTCCTTCTCCCTTCCCTTCCCTTTCCTCCTTCCCCTTAGCTCTCCCCTCTCACTTCTCCTTTCCCTTCACTTTCCTCTTCCCCCCTCATTCTCACTTCCCCTCTCCTTCTTCTCTCTTCTCCCTTCCCTTCCTTTACCTCCTTCCCCTTAGCTCTCCCCTCTCACTTCTCCTTCCCCTTCACTTTCCTCCCTCCCTCTCACTTTCCTCCCTTCCCTCTCCTTCCCCTCACTTTCCTCTCTTCCTTCTCCCTTCCCTTCCCTTTCCTCCTTCCCCTTAGCTCTGCCCTCTCACTTCTCCTTTCCCTTCACTTTCCTCTTCCCCCCTCATTCTCTCCTCCCCTCTCCTTCTTCCCTTACTTTTCCCTTCCCCTCACTCTTCCCTTCCTCCTCAACCCCCCACATTTTCCCCCTCCCCTTTCACTCTCTCCCACCCCCCCCCCCGTCCCCCCCCCCCCCGTGGCCAGACAGGTTGCTACGTTCAGAGAAAAGAAGGCCGAGGTGGCGGAGGGATATGAGCCTGGGGATGGGACAAGACGCAAGCCCACGGGACTAGCCGGGGAAAAGTTTGCCTGTGCGCTCGTGTGAGCGATCGCGGAGCAGCTAGAGCGGCCGGCGGAGCTCCCGGGGCGCTCCAAGAGGCCCGGGCAGCCGGGGCTCCGCGATGAGGGCAGCCGCGGGGACCGCCGCCGGCTTGCTCTTCTTCCTGGGCCTGAGCCAGTGGGGCTGGCCCGCCGATGCGGCCGTAAGTCCTTGCCCCCCACCCCCGCCCACCGGGAACTCTGCGTTTGGGGGGCACGATCGAGGGGTCCCCTCCCCCCATCGCACCGTCGGGAGAGGGCAGGGGGATGCGCTGATGGGGGGCTGGGGGTCTTTGAAGGGAACCTTGACACGACCGGGGGGAGGACACATGTGGAAATCCCCTCCCCCAGTGGGTAGCCCCCTCCCCTGGTCCCGAAGGACCTGCGGCGCCCCGAGGTGCAGTCAGGGATCTGGGCAGCGCCGCGCTTTGTCCGCCCGCTCACAGGCGCCGGGCCACTTTCTGCGCTTCAAGTTCTTTTACCAGCCAGGGCTCCGGGGGTTGTGCGCAGTGCATTTCGCGGGCTGCCTTTGAGAGGTTCTTTTCCCACCCCTGAGAACAAACGCGAAACCCCAAGGGCCACGGGAGTGGGGCTAGGCAGGCAGCTTGGTTCTGGGGAAGGAGCCATGAACTTGGAGTCAGTCTCAGCCCTGCTCTTCACAGCCTGTGTGACCTTGGACAAAACCCTTCTCCTCCCTGGGTCTCAGTTTCCTCTGTTGTAAAAAGAAAGAACTGGATTAAAGGACCTCAGAGATCCCTTCCAGCTTTAGGTCTAAGATCCTTTTGTGACCATGGGGAAATCATTTTACAACGCTCTGTGCCTCAGTTTCCTCATCTGTAAAATGAGGAGGTTGAACTAAGGTGACCTTTGAGGTCCCTTCCATTTCTAGATCCAGGATCCTGTGTGTGCCCTTGGCTGATCACTTCCCCTCCCTGTGACTCAGTTTCTTCTGTAAAACAAGGGACCGAACTAGATGGCTTCTGAGATCCTTTTTAGTTCTACAGATAGCTAGAGTCCTGTCATCTCTGATTGTGAAGTTTAAGATGGAATGGTTTTGTGTGGGGGAAAAGCCCTTCAGGGGAGAGGGAAAATGAATGGTCAGTGAGACTGAGAGATTTTGTTATCTAGAACTGCTTTAAAAAATAATTCCAGTGCTCTCCCCTCAACTTGTCTGAGGCTTTGGCACTGAAGCAAGCCATTTTCATTTGTCCTCTGAGAACCGGGCTAGCTGCGTTTGACCAGCTCCTTCCTCCAGCAGGTGGGCTCCCCAGGGTAGAATTTCCAACCACAAAAACGTGTGACTTCCATCGACTTAGGTGCCAGGGGATGGGCTCTGCTTTAATAGAGTTGAAATCACTTCAAGTGTCCATCAAGGATCACTGAACTCAGAAGCATTGAGGTTACCCCACTGTAGCTGGCTGGCTTTGGGCCAGGTCTCTGGCATTCAGGGAATGCAGACTACCTTTAATATTAACCTAAACAGAATGGCAGAGATCTACTCCCCAAAGCAGGGGTGGGGGAACCCTGCAAAGTGAACTCCTAGCAAATTCAGGAGAATTTAGCATTTTTTCCTTTAAATTATGAATGACACTGACATTAGCCTCCATAATTAAGGCTTGTCCACTGCTTTTACGAATGATTGATTTACATTTGGAAGGGACCCCAGAGGTCATCTAGTCCAAACTCCCTTATTTTACAGAGGGGGAAACTGAGGCCCAGGGAGGAGAAGGGGCTGGTCCAAATTCACACAGGGAGTAAGTGGTAGAAGTCAAATCTGAACCCGGGTCCTCTGACTCTAAAGCCAGTACTCTTTCTTCTGCACTCCTGCTGCCTATCATCAAAGGACCACAGACCTTCAAATACTGTTTCAGCTGTACTGTTGGACATGGAGATGCCGGAAGCATCTTCTTCTTGCCTGCTTTTGCAGTGTTGCAGGGTCAGAGCTTTTGAAAAGTGCTGGATAAATACATTTAGATTTTTTTTTTCCTTTCTGATTTTGCCTGAAGTTACCTGCTTAGATTGTATTTCCTTTGCCATACCAAAAGATTGGAATAATTGTATAACAGAATAAATATTTGAGTTTAGGTGGAGTATTCACAAAGTGTTCCCTCTTGTCCTAATAAGTAAGAGGTAAGAGAGTAAGTTTTTTTTTTTCCAGGCTGGGAAGATTTCTTTGAGGGATATAGAGTGAGAATGTGCTGTTCCTATGGCTTTGACCTACTCAGCAGGACAGGCACTTTAAGTGGATTTTTCCATTTGTGGAGGATGGAATTCAAAGACCTCACCATACTTTTTCTCATCTGATCCCTCTTGAGACCAATGACATGAACTTCCCAGAGTTAGAGATGCAGCCTGAGGCTGTTCTGTTTTTTTTCTCTTGAGTTAACTGGTCCATGGCAAGGGGAGAGAGGGAGAGAAATTCTAGACTATGCTACTTGAAGGGCAGAAACTCTATCCTAATGTTTCCTTGTGTCACCAACATAGCACCTAAGCTACCAGCTTGCAGTGAATAGGCACTCAGTAGAGATTTCTTGAATGACTGGACAAATGGAAAACCCCCAGAAGGCTAGGGAACACTTTCTTCTTTTTTTTTCCAATTACATGTAAAGATAGTTTTCAACATTCATTTTTTACAAGATTTTGAGTTCCAATTTTTCTCCTTCCTTCCTTCCCATCCCCCCTCCTCAAGAAAGCAAGCGATCTGATATAGGTTATGCATGTGCAATCATGTTAAACTTATTTCCCCATTAGTCATATTGTGAAAGAAGAAACAGAACAAGAGGGAAAACTCATGAAAAAAAACTGAAAATAGTATGTTTTGATCTGCATTCAGACTCCATAGCTCTTTCTCTAGATGTGGATAGCATTTTCCATCACGAGTCTTTGGAATTGTCTTGAATCATTGTATTGCAGAAGGAAAAACTAGATCTATCATAGTTGATCATCCACACAATGTTACTGTTACTGTGTATAATGTTCTCCTGGTTCCGCTCACTTCACTCAGCATCAGTTCGTGTAAATCTTTCCAGGTTTTTCTGAAATCTGCCTGCTCATCATTTCTTATAGCACGATAGTATTCCATTACGTTCATAAACCACAACTTGGTCAGCCATTCCCCAATTGATGGGCATCCCCTCAATTTCCAATTCTTTGCCACCACAAAAAGAGCTGCTATGAATATTAAGGACCCATCCTTTCTGCTTTATTATGATCTCTTTCGGATACAGACTTAGCAGTGGTGTTGCTGGATCAAAGGATACTCACAGTATTTTAGCCCTTTGGGCATAGTTCCAAATTGCTTTCCAGAGTGGTTGGATCAGTTCACAACTCCACCAATAGTGTATTAGTGTCTAGGGCACACTTTCATCAGGAAAGAGCATGAAGGCATATGGGGAAGTGGCCCTGGGAAAAGGAGAACATTGGATCAGAGATTGAGAAAGTGAAGGAATTTGAGCTGTGATCTTGTCCCATTGCCCAGAGGATAGTGATGGCTACAGGGATGAAAGGAGAAAGCCGAAATCTGCAAACAGTTGGAAAAAAGTTGTAAAGAGAGAAAAAGATGAGGAGACAAGAACATAATGATAGGAAAAGACAGAAAAATCCAACTCTGGTCAGATCAATCAATCAACAAACGTTTATTAAATGCTTACTATTTCCCTGGTACAGTGCTGAGCTCTGAGAATACAGAAAAAAGCAAAAATATTTCCTCCATTCAAGGTTCTTATAGTCTAATATGGAAGGCTACATTTTTGTAAGTAAGAAAATACAATATGCATACAGAGAAGATGGAAGATAACTTTGGAAGAGAAGGCACTGACAACTGGGCTGGGGGGATGGGGAAACCAGAACAGGCATCCTGCAGAAGATGGGCTTGGAGCCTTGGGATTCTAGGAGGCACAACTGAGGAGAGAGAGAGAGCGGTTCAGGCATGGGGGATGGGTAATGCAAGGTCATGGAGGTGGGATATGGGGCATTGTGTGTGGAGAGTGGCAAGTAGGCCAGTATGGATGGTCCACAAAGAAAATAGAGGTGAATAATTTGTGAGAAGGCTGGAAAGATAGAAGAGACCAGGTTGCAAAGAGCTTTAAATGCCAAATAAGAATTTATATTTGATCCTAATGGTAACAGGGAGCCATTGCAGTTGTAGAAGGTTGACATGGGGAAATGCACTGTTTAGGAAGAGTTGAGCAAAGGATCGAGTGGGGGAGAGGCTTGAGGCAGGGAAACCGGTGAGAAAGTTACTGCAAATAGTCCAGGGGAGAAGTGATGAGAGCCTGCTCTAGGGTGGTGGATGTAGGAGTGGAGAAAAGGGAACAGATTTATGAAAGACTTTGTAAAGAAACATCCAGTTTTGGTAAGTGATTGCATATATGGGATCAAAGGAAACAACATACTTAAAACACTTTGTAAACCTGAAAGTGCCCCATAAATGCGTGCTCCGATGGTGATGACGAGGATTATTATCTGGAGTGAGTGTGAGCAAGAAATTGAGGGTGATCTTACAGTTGTGCACCTGGCTGATGGGGAGAATGGTGGTACCCTCATGGTTAAAGGGAAATTCAGATTTGGGGCAAAAGAGGAGGAGTTCCATTTTGCATATGTTGAGTTTGAGATGTTTATGGGACATCTGGTTTGAATTATCTAGTGGGCAGTTGGTATTTTGATACTGGAGCTTAGGAGAGAGACTAGGGCAAGACAAATAGACCTGAAAATTATTTGCAGAGAGAAATTTGACTTAGGGGAATGGAGACTACCAAGTGAGACAGTTTAGAGAGGAAAAAAAGGCAGTCCAGGAGAGAGGTGCAGAAGATATGCGCGATTAGTGGCCAAGTAGATTGTAGAAGGAGTAGTCAGAGAGGGAGGTGTGCCAAAAGAGAGTGGTAGGGTCATAAAAAAAAAGGAGAGAAGAGAGGATCCAGGAGAAGAGGGTGGTCAACCTTTCTGAGGGCTCAGGAAAGATGAGAATTGAGAAGCTCTTGATTTGGCAATTCAGAGAGCTTTAGTAACTTTGGAGGGAGTAATTTCAGTTGCTAGGGATAGGTATTGGTACCACTAAAACACTTGGCTTTATAAAGGACAGGTCAAGAGGCAGGCTGACCTTGGAGTGAGGAACCATAGGTTCAAGTGCATTCTCTAACACCTATGTGACCATGTGCAAACAATT